GATAGAGTTCAAGACAATGATGTCACTCTTGTTGAATCAGAATCCTACTCGCTACGCTAAGGTTCAAGTCGTAGACACCTTTGCTTATGCACAATCTTAGAAACGTCTGACGTACTTCTAAAATCTCTTTTTAAATTCAAGTGGGGGATTGTTGGAACTATATTAATTAGAGTGGGAATTGGAAAGATTTATTGACAATTAATGGGCAATAAATCAAGTAAGAAGTAATATATAAGTGAATTTGAAAAGATTCATTTTAGTCCCACATTGAAGGAATGAAAAATAAGATTCATTTTAGTCCCACATTGAAGGAATGAAAATTAAGATTCATTTTAGTCCAACATTGAAGGGAATGGAAATTAAGATTCATTTTAGTCCCACATTGAAGGGAATGGAAATTAAGCCTTACTAGCTGCCTATAAATAAAGGGTAGAAATTCAGTAGTAAGCACTCCGGATTTCACAAATTCATGAATTTTGATTTCCCTCTTCTCTTCCTTAATTCTCTTCATCTATAATTTTTTTCTTTTCTTGACTGGTTATTTTCACCAGATACTGTAACTTAGAAAGGTGTATTTCTAGAGCGATTTATCAGTGTGCAACTGATAATCGTAAAGTTTTTGAACGGGCTGTTTTATCCTGGAGGCGTCGTCGTAAATCGACTGCTTTGCATATTTTGGCAGTACGGCGAAACGTCTTAAAGAAAGCGACCTAGTACGCGACTCGTCCCAATAATTTTCTTGTGCCAAACTCAAATTTTCAAATCCGAAAACAACAGTAGATGTTTAAACTCTACCTTGCAGTTTATGCCATTAAATTATTGATGTGAATTTTCACCCACTTTGAGTTGATGTTATCCACGATGGATATCTTGTAGATAATCAAGATTAGAAGTTGCTATTGTGAGTGGAAGATAACTTTTGAAGTTATTTCCATTTAGTTTCGTTGTTTATATAATGGGTATGGTCTGATCATGTAACATCAAGGTGATACGCTCGTTTTACTTGTTAAATTCGAATTAATTATTTGAGGAGTTTTTATGACGTTATTTTGAAGTAGAGAACAAACATAAATTTGTTGAATATTTTAATTTAATTTCCGGCTGCTATTTGAATAAAGTTGAGATGTTGTGAAGTTAGTAACACTTTAACCAACGTATAAAGCTTGTTATATAGGTTTCGGGTCAGTGTGTTACAATAAACCTCTGACCATTCAAATCAATTCCTATGTCCACGGTTAATTGCATATGAATTCAAGCATGTGATTATCAGAAACATATCAGTTTTGTACGTTATCCCCATTTCTAGGTGATATATAATATAAAATACTTCAATTAAGCATTATTGTTAAATGTCCTTCCTAACAGATAACTGTAAATCATTTCCAACTTTTCAGAGAGAAAAGACATTAAACTCATAAACAATAAATCGTGTAGAATGTAAAATAGAAGTCATTACAAAGATCAATTAAAAAATCAACTCATTCAAGAAAGTAACCCATATCTAGCATTAGAGGATTTAGCTACTCATAATAATAATAATAATAATAATAATAATAATAATAATAATAATAATAATAATAATAATAATAATAATAACAAAAGTCATAGACGTTACACAATGATCACAAAGAATGAAGCTTCAATGGAGAAATTTGTTAAATTTGGTGCTTCTCGTTGTTTCTATCATGCCTTACTCCAAGGTTACATTTTCTATCCAAATTCCAAATGCAAGATAACTTAAGAAAATTGGTTTTTTTTTCTTCTTTCATTTAAATAAGTATTTTGGGGTTTTAGGGCAGATATGGGCGTCATACACATATGGATAGAAACACTGATTTTGGAACTCATGGACGTGTATAGACATAGGGGAAAAACACCGAAATAGCCTTTGGTGTCTTCATAAGATTAGTAGCTCTTTATGTTAACTTTAATTCTCCTCTGATTCCATGTCAATCCGAGTTACAAAGCTCTATATATAATTAAAATACCACACATACATCATGATGTAAAAAGTGCTGAAAAATAGACTTAGTGAATCCTTCTGAAAATTCGTCGCGTTCCTTTTATAACCATTTCTTTAACTTCCTCCCACCTATGAAACATGTTAATTATTTCCCAAAAGATCATGTGACACGTGGAAAATTATTAAACAATTAAATCCTCACGCCACAAATAAATTCTATAAAATCATTTAAATTCAATATGCAAGCACTAATTGAACATCAAATATACTGCTAAAATTATAATAAAACACATTAAAATGGTGAATAATTACTTCGCGTGCAAAGTCCCTACAACCGATCATATTGTTTGAAGATGAAAGCAATGTCACCTTCAAAGTTTTATCCTCGTCTATAAGGGAGCTATACGGGACTGAGTAAAAGCTAGCTTTCTCATCAAAATAATCCAGGGACTATAACCTTCTGGCCATGTCAGTGCAATCAAACGGCCCTGAGGAAGAAGGTGAAATATTACAAAATTTCGTGTGAGATGTGGGGGAAAGAGGGGTTGTCAGAGAATAAAAAGGCTTGAAGTTCTTCCAACTTTTTGTATAAACTTGGAAGAACTTGTGGTCATTGTGACAAAGGGAACTAGTTTATGACCAATCTCTTTCCTTGATGGAAAGTTCATAGAAAATAGGTGAAAGAAAAGATTATTCTAGGTAGACATCATTTAACTCTTGTACTCATACAAATATTGGAACACCCGTACTAAGGCCCAAGCAACTAGGTGGAGTTGCGAAGGGGTGATTCGTAGGTGATTTAAAACCTTCTTTTCAAAAGTAGCCAGGGTAAGTCGAACAATAGGAATGATGGAGATCGACTAATCAGAGGAGGATCCCACCTCGAAGGTAACTTTCTCCACATCGGCTTCTCGGGTATAAGATGAAAATATTCCCATACATGCAGGGTCCACCCAAGAGTAATCACCCGCATCATTCGAAACCATCAATTCCTCACAATTTATGTTTCTACATTATAAAATGAATCATTTTGATCATCATTGATAAATCAGTGATGCATAGGACTTTTATTGAGAGATTGAATGAAGCAACCAATCTCAGACCATGCTATCTTGGATAAAACAAAACCCAAATCAAGTTAAGTATGAGTAATGGAAGAGGCACAAACGACAACTTCGCTCATCATCAAATCAACTTTATCACTAGAAGAATCCAACCCGACCCAGAGTTACCATTTAGCGCATTCGAGGCATGGATGAGAAGGTTCATCCCATAGAATATATTTATGAGTTCTAGATTATCAACATCTGCATACGATGAAGATTAATCATTAGCAGGCTTGAGGAAATTTTTTATTGACACATCTCCTGGATTAACCATAACAACATACTGAAAAGACGTTAATATACCTTGAAAAGAAGATAAAGAAAGAAAAGTGACCTACAAATGGAGATCGAAGTGACAAAAAATTTGGAACGCCGAAGCAAGTGAGCAAGACAGTGAGCCCAGAAGGAGTGAATAAACTTTGAATAACAATGGAAGCAAAGTAAGCATTTGGTTAGAAGCCATCCTTTTATAAGGAAACCAGTTGCAAATCAACAGTCCAAATTAGAAGTGAAACGGAAATCTAAGGGGGAGTGAAATGATTGTTCCATAAGAAGCATTAAGGATTTAAATGTACTTGAGTACTCTATATAGGAAAAGCTACACCCTAACTTGAAGACCTAGAGCCACATACTTAGAGGGAGTGACGAAATGTCTCAATGATGGAAAAACGTTTAATACACATGTTATCCACTATTTTAATAGTTGTTCCACGACCTTCCTGCTTCTTTATATAGTTGGACATGAACATCAGAGGTCTGCCATGACTCCAAAAAGACTTCCTGATTAATATACTCTTAACAAGCCTTGAGGAAAACTGTTCTACTTCGGTCAAAGACCCAATATGAAGGTTCCACCATACTTAAGCCCAATGAACATTATCCAACATATATAGTCGACAAGTGTGAAATTCAAGGTACATTTTTATAATCCTAATTTCATAATATAGTCATCTTGGACTATGTAATTAACTTGAGTATTAGAGTGATAACCTTGTTGGTCCACCCCGCGCCACCATATCGAAGATCAACATCATAGACTTTAGAATCCTATGTCATTGATCAACACTAAGTCTTAGTCCACAACAGTAGTAGATATTAATCTAATTATTCTAATATTATAAAAGTCAAATGATTTTTGATTGATATTAAATTTTATAGAAATAGTCTATATAATTGTAATTTTCAATGTAATGATTGATTTTGTTATACAAATATATATTAAAGAGTTATCGGAGGTGCAATCATACTAAATTTGACACTTTGGTGCCATGATACTAACCATCATATTAAATTATGGGGCAAAAATTAAAACATAACTTATCACTTTCATTTTCTTTCTCTATCATAAACACATAACCTATTCATCTTCTCCTCTTACATCCTGAATTTTTTTTCTCACATTCAGTTTCTCCCCGGCCTCTCCAGTGTTGATGAATGATGACTCTCCCTTTCTGGTGCCGATTGACAAGTCTGCTTCTCCGGCACGGTTAACAACTCTAATTAAAGTGTGTTTGTAATAGAGATTGAAAAAAAATCATTATACGTTGAAGAGATACTAACATGAAATTCAGTTTTTATTCTACATCTGATATTTATTTAGTTTAATAAAAATAAATAAACAAAAATATTTTAATAATCCATTTATCATATCAGCGAGGCGTGATTAATACTAAGAGCATTCTTGAATTTCGTGAAATCCAGTTTTGTATGATATAGCAACGCAGTTTACAAAAATCTTAAGTTTGTTTATCATGTTTATTAGCATCAACTTGTTAAAATTTTAAGGTGATATTATATATAATAAGTATAAGACTTGCTATTAGTTATGATGGCAATTGACAATTTAACATGTAACATAACAGAGTTAAAGTATAAGAGTTGTTATAAATTAATTGATTCGAAATATTAAAAAAAAGTGACAACACCCTGAACTAAAGACTAATAACATCAGTTTTTCCTGGTTCAGTTGGATCAATTTCATCACCAACATTTTTAGAAAGCCTCAACAAACTCCTCATAGGCAAAATAGCTTTTGGATTAACATCATGCATTGCTCTAGCAAATAAACACCTACATGCTTCACTTGCTGCTTCAAACAACACTGTATCCTTGTTATTAGGACCTAACAAACAATGTCCCAATATTCTCAAAACTGGTTGCAATAATTCCCATGGCATTGGAACCCTACCCCTCTTATTAGGACCATTTTCCTCTTTTTTCTCTTCTTCAATTTCAACAATTTCTCTTTCAACATCATTATTATTATTATTATCATCATCAACATCTTCTAGATCATCATCTTCGAAATCCTTATACATGTCACCATCTTCACCGGCCCAAATTTTACAAAACTTACAAAAATCAATCTTCGACTCGATTGCGATTTGTGAGATCTTGCTGTAGAATAACTCGAGTGCAACACCGACGATCCGTGCTCTTCGCGTGGATCGGACGGTACCGTGTGGCTCAAGCGACGGGGACAAAACAGCCACGTTTAAATCAGTTGCATTGTTTTTATTCATTGTTGATTTGGATTCATGGTACACGCTCGGGTGTGACATGTCAGGGATGGTAACGGTAACAGATTCACCTGCACGTGAGGTTGTTTCGTAAGCATAGAGAGCTAAGAGAACGGCTTCGAAGCCGGCTTGCGGCTTTCTATCGGCGACGCGGGAGAGGTAAACACCGGCGATAATGGGGAGGAAACGGAGGACGATGAGTTGGAGATCAGGGACGTTGGATTGGAAAGTGTCGTAGAGCCAACGACAGAGGTTGTTATCGCCAGAGCCGGAGTTGGGGCTACGGAGGAGGGTGGCGATTTGGGAGTAAATTTCGGGTTCGTTGAGGATGGAGAGAGGGGTGGTGGTTGAGCTGATGGGGAGGGATGGGTTGACGATGGAGGAGAGAGACTGGACGGCGGATTGGATTTTTTCTGAGGTGTTTGGGGTGAAGGTGACGGAGGGGGTGGTGGGTGTGGCGGTGGAGGTGGGAGTTTCGTCGTCGGACATTATGCGGAAGAGGAATGAGAGTTTGAGAGAGGGAAGGTGGTGGTGATAATGAATTTTATTGTTTTTGTGTTAATGTTAATGAGAGGCCAAAGGCGTAAGATATGGAGTAACAATAGGATCCTAATTATGTTTTGATGTCATTAATCATCTATTATATATAAAAATTAATGTTGATAGAAAATATATTTCAAATAATATAAACATAAAGTTATGTACTCCATTCATCTCAAATTATATAGGTTAATCTAATAAAACATATTTATCTCAAGTTATAACTTATTTTACAATAGTAATGTTTATTTTATTATGTTATTAGCTTTTTAACTTTTTTTTTTAAATTCTCTCAACATAATTTTTTTCTTACCATTAATAAAGTAATGTCCTTGCATTGAGGTGCTAGGCTTAAAAAATAGAGTTTATAGTTTTTAATCTTTAGTTTTTTAAATCATTTTAGTTAAAAAGTTATTGTTAATCTTTTAGTTTATAATTTTTTAATAAATTTTTAACTTTTGAATTTATCGTTTTTAGCTTATGAGTGAGAGAGAGAGTAAAAACTATTTCTATTTTAACGTATGTGTGTTAAAAAAGCATTCAGATAAGCACGACAAGATTTTCGTGATAAAGAAACAAATTATATATGCTTCTGAGATCATAGTCGATTTATATTTTGGCTACAAAAGTCTAAAAGAGACTTAAAGCATATATATTTTATAAATTTTTGCTCATATAACATTACAAGTTTTATATTTTAGTTATTTTACTGTAGTTATATATTAATTGTGTCACATTTACCACTTTAAAATCAAAATTAAATTTAAAAAAAAAATTATATTTTGACGCGTTTGCACTCTAGAAAAGTAGATAAATAGACAAAGAAGTACTCATGTAAACGTTAGTTATAAGTAAAAGAAATAAGGGAATTTATACTATTCTATTTTCTTTTTTATTTTATCTTTCACATACTCCAATTATTCTCAAACAACACTTAAATTTAATTCAAATTATAATTGCACATGATGGTGTAAAATTCGAAGTATGGGTCGGAGATGATGGTGTGATACTGGAAATGGTTTTAATGGTGGTTGTGGATTAAAGGATGGTGAGCGTTGGCTCTGTGAGAGCTAAGAAGCTAAAGGAGATGATTAAGATTAAGGGTGATGAGATTCACGGTGTTGTGAGGCGAATGTGTTTTAAGATGAACGTGTTTAATTTTTGGTTGAAGGAAGGATTGTTGAATGGAAGAGAAGTGAAGTTGAAGGTGGATTCACTGCGGAAGTTGGAGCTTGTATGAGAAGATGGTGAAGACAATAGGGAGCGGCGATGCAGAACAAGGAGTTTGTGAGTTTTTTGCTTTTTTGATTTTCACTGCCTTGGTTCTTGTTATACGACATCCTTCCTGTTTTTTAATTCCAGAATCAAACTTGCTTTGTTTTTGAACTTTGAATTTTTCTGTCGTTGCTTATGTTGTTGCTTTCAGTGGCACAGGCTACGCAGGTTTGGATGTAGAGTCTAGTCGTTGTAGTTGTTGGTTTGGTTAAAGTCTTGGCAAATTGTTGGATTGTTGTGTAGGTTTTGCTGTGTTTTGGCTATGTTGTAGGTTTCATTTGGATGCAGCAAAATTTGTTTGAAATGTTGATGTTCTGTTGATGCAATTTTTTTGGATTATGGCTTGTATGGAGCGTGTAAGACAGGTTGTAGCAGAAGCTTTTATCGTGTAGTTGCTGTTGTAGGGATGCTCAGATTTTTTGGTCAAAATTCAAAGGTTTTGGAGCAGAGAGATATCACCACTTGGAGGGTAATGGCAAAAGTCTACTTTTGTGTGAATATGGAGCAGGGGTTTGTATTTGGTGGTACAGTTGGAGCTTTGGCATGTAGCAGGATTACATCGGGGTGTTCTTCTTTTTAATATAGTGATGTAGTACGAACTTATGAGGTCTGATGAGGGTGGGTTTTCTTTTAACATGGGTTTGGAGAGTTTTCATTTGCAGGTTTAGAATTATGGTCAAAAGTTGGACAAAATTGTTATTAAAATATGATAAACAAAACCAAAACATTTAAACTGCATTTCTAAAGAAAAGTATAAATCATAAACCTAATTAATTAAATAAATTTAAATTAATTTTAAATTAATTAAAAGATTGATCAAACAAATAAGAATAAACCTAATTAACTAAAACTAAATTAATTAAAAAACATAAGTGGTAAAAATCAAATAAATCCTAATTTAATTAAATTAAAACTAAATTAATTTTAAACTAATTAAAAGATTATTTAATTTAAAAACTAAAAGATAAAATAATAGTTAAAATCAAATAACATCCTAATTAACTAAACAAATTAATTTAATTAAAAAATGACTAAGAAATGAATAAGTAAATAAAAGTAGATGAATGATAAAATAAAGTAAAGTTAACAAATAAAAAGTAATTTTAGATTAATAAAAAAATAATAAAATGAATAAAAAGTGAATAAAGGAAAGTTGGGTACCGAAATACTCAAAAAGGAAAAACGAATTCATCGAAATTAACAGCACAGAATAAACCACTCGGAAGAATATAACGTTTCGTCCGATTTCGAAATAATTCTTATCCGTTGAAATGGTTTAAACTGTCTAAAATACAACCGATTCGGCTGTAATTCTAATAAGTTCATTCTGACTGATAACATAGACAGTATGCGAGAAATGATTGACCTAAAATGATATGCAAAAGATCAAAGAATCTAAGGGTAAAATTTGGGGTATGACAATTGCCCCTATTTAAATATATTTACCTGATGACAGGAGCGATGACAATCCTCATGATATCATGGTAAAATGTATTTAAATATAGAAAACCGAAAATTTTGCCCTTAAATGTAATGACATAATATGCTATGGATAAAAGAGCAACAAAAATGCAATGCTGGCATGCAATGAACTCTAGCATGACGAAAAAAATGATGGGAAGGTAAATGCTAAAGATGCAGATAGATGCAAAAGCAAGCAGGGAAAGCTCACACAATGAGTAACCACTCACTAGGGATAACAACAACACTAGGGAAGCTTAAACAAACCTGGGGAAATCTAAAGTGATGGATTAACAGTTTCAAGTGTAACCATGTGACACTTTAGAAGGAAGGAATCCACACTGGAGATAGAACCAAGAGACGATCTCCATTGGGGAAAATCCAGAGTGATGGATCAACAAGTTCAAGTAATGACTAGCTGACACTCTAGGACAAAAGATAAAGCAACCTTATTGGAAGTAGAACCAAAATGTGGGCTCCAATAGAGGTATCTAGAATGATTGATCATCAGGTTCAAGCATGGCATGATGACATTCTAGAACAAAAAGACTCTCAATGAAGGTAGAACCGGAAAGACGGTCTCCACTGGGGAAAGAAAAACTTCACAAATGAGTGGTATCGTCAAAGAGTTGACGAAAATATACATAAACTTGAGAGTCTTCATTAAAGGGTTGATGGAACAAAACAACAAAAACATGTCCGAAGGTACACAACTTGAGCTCAAAATACATCGTCAAAGGATTGACAGAATGAACATTTGTCCAAAGGAATACATCGTCAATAGATTGACAGAAAGAAAAACCTGATCTCGGACTACATCGTCAAAAAGAGTTGACAACAAGAAACCAAAACATATCCGAAGGTACACAACCTGAGCTCAGAATACATTGTCAAAAAGGGTTGATGGCAAAAAACTAAAACATATCCAAAGGTACACAACCTGAGCTCGGAATACATCGTTAAAAAGGGTTGACGGAAAGAAACCAAAACATATCCGAAGGTACACAATCTGAGCTCAGAATACATTGTCAAAAAGGGTTGACAAAAAGAAACAATTCACCAAACATTATCATCGTCAAAGGATTGCCAAAATGAAAACCTGACCGAAGGAACACACCGTCAATAGATTGATAGAAAGAATAACCTGATCTCGAACTACATCGTCAAAAATGATTGATAAAAATAACACCTCAAATAGGAATCTCATCAAAGGGGTTAATGGACAAGAGTGCATTTGAAAGTAGTCATCAAAAGGGTTGATGACAAATGACTAATCGAGGGTAACACCAACTATAACCATAAAAAGTTGAATAACACTGAGAATGGATAAGCTTCTTAGGAGAGAATGCCACTTATCACCATAGAAAACAAGCTTCTCAAAGAGATTGCCACCAGTTGTATACAAAAAGTTGAGGAAAACACCCAAGTCGGATAAGCTTCTCGGGAGAGACTGCCACTTATCTTTGCAAAAATATCAATGACAAAACAAGCTTCTCGAGGAGACTTCCAATTATTGTCTGGGTATAAATTCCAAGGAGATGTTATAATAACCCTACTGAAGAATAGGTTATGTCTTCAATGAGGATATGTAAAAGATTCTTCCTACAAGACACCATACAAAATACATGCACGTTTAAACTAGGTTTGGCAACCTAAACAGGTTTAAAAACCACACTTGCCAGGGACTAAAGTTCAATCTAGGAACAAGCTAGAAATAAACGGTCAAACAAGACTCCAAGTATTGAGGAATGAACTCAAATGGGGATTCATCTTATCCAAACATGGAAAAGATAACTGAACCAACCATCATCCACGAGGATCAAACTCTATGAGGAATTTAGAATGGATGGGAACTTTATGCCTAAAGGCTAACGACCCTATTGGAAATATGAGACTAACCCAGTCACTTGGAGAGTAAACGCCAAAGTGAACGAAACGTGTAAACACCAGAATGGCAGCAAAAATGCTCAGATGCCATACATATGTATGACTGCATGTTACCGTGTTTATGTTTATGCTGACAAAATAGACAAAGGGAAGCAAACGAGAGATGAAATAAACATCTCGACAAGGATACCCATCCAACTTCACCAGATTGGAACATCACTAGGGATGAACCTGCAGAACAAACAGTTATACTTCAAGGTTTCAACCTTCTCTGGGAAAAAGTGTACTCTACTCGGAGGCATAACGCCATGACTTCACCTGAGGGA